TTGACATGTTCGACTCGATCAATTGTCGTGCAGCAGTAACTTTTTGTGATAGTGAAATATCAGCCGGGATGTGGGCTAGTGGTAAGCACTATCTTCTCTGCCACGACTGAACATATTCCGGCCCAGAGCTGACAGTGACTCCCTAAAAGGACGTAACGTGTATGATATCTCAAAGGTGATGATTCCTTCAGTGATGTGGCGTGCTGCATACATTGATATCGCGGCATCTTTGACGCTGATCAACAGATGTGTGTCGGGAATGAGTTGTGTTACGCTGAAGTTTCTGCTATCAAAGAGTACCTTGACATACCCGCAACCCGGAAACTGCTAGGTGTCGAAACCTCTAATAACTTCACCTCCTGCTCTCCCGAAGTAGGTGCAAACTTTGGGATACACATGGACAAGTACAACACCCCCACACACCTTCACGTGGCTGGGCTCTTGGACAGAGGTGTCCGTGTTTTGATCTATGCCGGAACATATGATTGGCAGTGTAACTGGATATCAAACAAGATGTGGGTGGAACAACTGGAATGGAGTGGATCTGATAATTACAACAAGATACCATGGAGGGAATGGACTGTTCGGGGACGTGTTGCAGGAGAAGTGAAGGCTACGCCGTTGCTGACGTTCGCAACTGTAAGAGGGGCAGGACATATGGCAAGTTGCGAACGAGTTTTTTTTCGAGATTTCACTGACTTAAGGCTTCCTGGATTCTGGAAGGTCCCACACGATAAACCAGAAGAAGCTCTTGCGATGATCAAGAAGTGGTTACAGAACGAGAGTTTGTGAATACTGATGAGTATTGTTCTATGTTGTCTATCGTATAAGATTTAAGCTTAACTCAGGCTCTTACAGTGCAGCAGACGTGATGAGGTCTTGACTTGAACGAGTTTTGAAAGTTCAAATATAGGAGCAGTGAGTATCCTTGACAATTGGTTCAATTATTGATATGCATATGTACATCAGTACCCGAGCTAAAGGTATACATTTATCCGTCTTAGAACATGATTGGTTACGTCGATGGTCGGCCACGTCGTTCATAATTCCAGATAGTGAGCGCTAGCAATGATAAGTACCATCTAGAGCGTCCTCGTTGAAGTACTGCAGCCTTTACTTGAACTCAAACTACATAATACTGAGGAGGCTTCATAAGTGTGGGACGGAGTTGATTGGCTAGGAACCACCGGCTTGGATTTCCATGGTGATATTTGGGCCCGCCAATCAATCACACTCACTGGATACCAAACTTCGGGGTTGTTCTCATCAATGGTGATTATAAAACAGGAACGTCGTCTGATCAACTAACCACCCTCCGGTTTCCCTCCCTTCCTCTTCGTTCGTCCTAGTGAGTACACTTTCAATGTCCCCTTGCACAATACTGAAAATTGACGATGTCCGAGTAGTCCTTTTCTTTCGGGTTGCCCGGCCGCACCCTCCTGGTCCCCCAAGTCTTCGTTTGGTTTTGAACAACCCATTACATTCTTTTCAAGCAGGCTCTCAGTTTTCGCGACAACTCTATTGAATAAAGAAAAAATGCGTTTCTCCACATCTCTCCTCACACTGGCAGTGCCCCTCGCAGCTAATGCTGCTCCTCTCCATATGACTAAACGTCAAGCTGCTGCTATCGATGTCACGGTCCTTCGTATGTCGTGGCTCTGCTCTTCACAATCAACCTTACTGAACCATATTCCTTCTAAGAATTCGCGAACACCCTTGAACAACTAGAGTCTCAGTTCTATGCCGCTGGCCTGTCAAAGTTCCAGGATTCTGATTTTCAAGCGGCAGGGTTCAGTGCCAGCAGCCTTGCGATACAACAAATCACGAATATTCAATCTGATGAAGCGACACATGCATCTGTTCTCGAGGTATCCCACATCAATAATGATATCTCTGTATCATCGTCCGTACTCACATTCGTCACAGGAAGAATTAACAGCCCTGGGACAAAACCCAAACTCGACCTGTAGTTTCAACTTTGACTCTGCCCTCACTGACGTGGCCACCATGGCTGCCACCGCTCGGGTTGTTGAGAATCTCGGCGTCAGTGCGTATCTAGGCGCAGCGTCTCTTTTGACGGACCCGCAACTCTTGGAAGCCGCTGGATCAATTCTCACCGTGGAAGCCCGTCACCAAACGATCTTGAATGTCTTGTCTGGTACTGGAACTGCCATTCCATCTGCTTTCGACCTGGCTTTGACGCCTAGTGAGGTTCTTGCTGTTGCCTCTCCCTTCTTCAGTGGGACCTGTGATCTTGGGCTTCCTGGTTAGTTATCAAATCACTGTTTGATGATTGGAAAAGGACTCATTTCGCTGTCCATTTCTCAGCCAATCCGACACTAACGGTGACCAACACTGGAACCGTTAGCCAGGGCACTTCCTTGACGTTCTCATCTACAGCCATCAACTCCTCCGTTGACACCAGTGTAAGTCCAGTGTATACTCCCCAAAAATCCAAGGCGCTAACCTTTTACCTATCGCAGTCTCTATTCTGCCAAATGTTAGTCGGCGGAAACCCCATCTCCATCTCCCTTCCCTACAGCCAATGCGTCGTCCCCAACACCGTCAACGGCCCCGTCGCGATCTTCATCACCACCGATAACGACCCGCTCCAGAGTAACGTCGTCAACCGCGCTTCCGCTAACAGCATCCTCGCCGGACCCACCCTTGCGTTCATTGATGCCCAACCAGAGACTCTCGGGGAGATGGTTCGTTCGAGTTCGAGCTCGAGCTCGGGTTCCAGCAGCAGTGGCAGTAGCACGGATACCGCTGCAGCTAGCAGTTCGACACAAACGATCAGTCCTGATGCCGCGGAATCGATTATCAGCTCCCAAGGGGCTTCTGCAACGGACTCTGCAGCAGCGGCTAGCTCTACCTCTAGCTCTTCCTCCAACTCGGTGAACGACAGCTCTGATCCGTCCGCTCCGTTCCGTGACGATTTCACTGGGCTTGCGCCTGGAGGTGTGATCAATGTGATAGGGTGGAGCAACATCCCTTCGAATTGAAACATTAGACACTGGATTTTGAGTCTTGACGGGGGGTGTAGGCTGTAGCTCATCATTGGGAATGGGATCAAGGACTCTACTAGTAGCGACGGACGGACACTATGGATATGGACTCTGCTTCAAGTAATTTGTTTGGATGAGAGGGGATAATACATAACACCCTGTATACCGCTTCTTTCGATTTTTCTTTTTTCCTCCAGTAGTGGGCGTCGCGCACCGTTTTCACTGATACCTTGAAGGGTTATGTTTAGAAAACCCGAATACCTTGGGTTTTGTGTAGGTGTAGTTCGTACATCGTACATGCTATCAATCCAGAGGATTCACAGGATCATGATGCAATGCACTGTAAACCTCTGTAAAGTTTAAGGCAAACAGCAAAAACCCTCTATTCATTGGGGACATTCGATTCACAAACAGCAACATCTACACCGTGCTGCAGTTCAGACGTTCATGTCCTAGAGGCTATAGCAGGTAACCATTAATGTATTCTACGACACCTTCTCCACCCCCCGTCCGTTATACCATAAATATACTATGCTGAAGCTAATCGGTCCATGCATTTATGAACGATATGTATGCTATGCAGGTGCAATATTACCATTAGCCGTTCCATTACTCATCTCTGCCTCAATCTTCTGCCACTTTTCATCATTCCAAGGGCCCGCATCGCTCAACGAGCAGCCCTTCTCGCACTGGCAAGTCCCACCAAGCTCTCTAGGTAGATTCTCCTTCGGAATCTGAGCCAACAGCTTATCTTTGTAATTCGCCCCAATGATATCGATCTTCGAAACCGTCACCTCGTCCAACCACGGCTTGATAATAGTCCAGACGCCGTTGAACAACCAAGGGGCGTTGATGATATAGAATTTACCCATGCATTCGGGGTATCTATCCTGGCCGATGCTGGACGCCGCCATGACATAGTCTTTGACGCGGTAGAAGTTGGTCAAGGAGACGTCTTTGAGATCGAGGATCGTGCAAGAGGTTTCGACAGGGTGCCCAACGGCAGCGGAGCAAGCGGGGAGTCGGGAGGTTATGAATTTCTCGTATTCGTACACGAGGCGTTTCAATAGTCGTTCCTGGGTCGTGCACGCGTAAAGAGCCTTGAAGTCGAGCTTGCCTAGTTGCTCGATATAGACAGGACGACCATCCTTGCATTGGAGTCAGCGCTGTATCCCGCAAATCGGTCGTTGATGAACCATACCTTGTCCATCTTATGGTAGAACTGCGGGTAATATTTGTCTACCTGCTCTTTCTCTTGAAAATCAAAGTTTCTGGCGCAGAATTATTGTCAGTACAAGAAACATCACTATAGGCGATCAGAACACACTTGACTATATCATCAACACCAAAATCCTTCCTCCATTGCTCACAGTCTAAGAGCATCTTCTTGGCCAGAGGAACATCGAATTTTCGTGCACGAAGGAATCTAGAGATGCAGAGGAGTATCAGCGAGAGAAGAACACTGAATCATCATCATTCTTGAACGAACCGTAGGAGCGTAGCATCATCCATCCTTTCTTCTACAAAGACACCCTCTTCCTTGAGCTCCTTCTTGAGTTTCTCGAGCGCATGTTGCTGCGGGATCGTCAAATTGCCAAGGCGGCCAGGGAGAGGTTTATAGTTTGGGTCGGTGATTCCTTCAGGGAGCGCGCTGGCGCTCGCCTGAGTTGGTATATCTGAGCTGGACATTGATAAGAGGAGATTATGATAGAAGATGTAAACCTAAAAGGGTGAGTGAATGCAGGTGTTTTGGAGGAGAAGTTATATGACGATGGTTTAGAGCAAAGTTGATTGGCCGAAACGGCACGATGATTATAGCGCTAAGTTGGCAACTTGAGTATGTACTTGGAATGGGTCAGAACTCGATCTTGCCTGATCTTGTTAGCATTCAGAACCAGTAATAGCAACGAGATTAGGGCAAGAGGAGAGTAAAATGAACAAACGGTAAAAAGGTCTAGAGTACAAAAAAACGGTATTCATTTACTCAATATATGACCACCGCAGGGGTCGAACCTGCAATCTCCTGATTACAGCTTTCATGCAGAAGCATCGTAGTCAGACGCGATGCCATTTCGCCAGGCGGCCATAACTTGCGGGGTATTGGTCCATATATTGGAAGAACCAGGTATTCAATTGTAGTGGCTGGTCTTGAGCTTGAATATAATGCTTGAGTACACAACGTAGAGAAATGAAGATAACAACCCAAGCTCTGTGGGCATCATTAACCATGGGTGAATAAAATTAAGAACACAATAATCAAGAATCAAAATCATTCCTCCCTCAAAAATGCATCCAACTCATCATCCAATTCTTGCTGACTCTTCTTCGGCCTACTATCTCTTTCCTTGGGATTATTTCCCCTTCCCGAGCCTCTGCCACGCCGACTGTGTCCACGACCATGATTCCTGTCCCTGTCCCCCCTCCCATTTCGCACCGCAAACCCCTCATCATCAAACTCAGACGTTATCCGATCCGCCAAATTCACCTTTCCGTCCGACCACAACCTATCCTCCAAACTAACGCCCTTGGTCCCCTGATTCCGACTCCGGCTCCGGTTACGATCCCTATCCCGACCCCGTCGAGGCAAAGGCGAAATCAACCGCGATGCCAGATCAAGCTTGGGTATATCCGTGACCGTATCCCCAAGTATCGTCCGACCGTCATTGGCTATGTAGTCAGAGCGCATTTTAGATGGTGGAGAGGGAGGGGTAGGAAGAGATGAGGGAGATTGTGCTATGATAGAATCACGATCTAGGTCGTCGTATTCATGCAATGCGGCAGTGTCTTCTGCCTCGCCTTCGGCCAAAAACGCGTCAAGGTCTTGATCTAATTGTTGTCGTTTGAGATCCTCAGACATTGCGCCGACACTGTTAGCCTCTTTGACAAGTCGTTGTCTCTTGTTTTGAGAGCTGGGAAGGTCTCGACCGTTGAACAGTTCCTTCCCAGCCATTCTACCATGTTTCTTATAGAATTCAGAGTCGCCCTGTGCCCCTCGTTTCTTCACGTCATCTATTTTTGCCCAACGAATCTTCATCGTGCCCTTCATCGGAGACTGACCATCCTGTGCGTTGTCTGACACAGATATGCCCAAACTACGGTTGATCCTCTCCTCTGGAGGCCACAGAGCCACGGGTATGTGTTTCGCGGTAACGAAGCCGGCTTCGTCAAGTTCCTCGCCTGCGGCCTTCGTAAGAGCTTGCAAAGCGTGACGGGCAGCAGTTCTAGAAGGAAACACGAGGATACAGGTGGTGTCGGAGATCCATTCTAGGGCTAATGGATGGGAAGTGGAAGACGAGGAGGGTATGAAATGGGTCGCGTAGGCGAAGATACGTGCGGTGGGGAGGTGGGATACGGGCGTTCCTTGTATAAGAAGAGCATTCGGTCGGAGAGTAGGATCTTTGGGTTTCGGATCGTTCGCGAGTTTATTTCTTGAGGTGATATCAAAGCTCACCGGTCTCCATTTCGACGTCTTCTTCTTCGCCATCTTGACTTGACGTCGGTAGCAAGTCCACGGTATCTCCTTCTCGTTTTCGCTTGAGGATTGGCAACATAATATGACGAGCATCGTGTATGTATCAGCAATAAGCGATCACCATTTTTTGCAGAATAGATTGATTGGTTCAAAGCAAACAAGGGAGGAAGATAGAGACTATAAATTTAACGACCCGTTTCGCTGAAACGAAAGCTGAAAGACTCACCTTGGAGCCCCGAGATTTCGCTGTTGATGCTGCAGAGGATTCCGAGAGAAGATAGACTTTGGTGGTTCCTATTCGACTAGCTAGTCCTGAGCTTGTGGTCGAGGAAACTTGTGCTTCGTATGGGACATCTTCGTCATAAGAAAGCACTTGTACAGGGTCCTCGTACGTGCTGGTCGGTTCGAGGATAGAGAGTCCGGTGGTTGTGGAGATATCCATTGGGAATGTATTTTGGGATGGTCAAGAGAAAGAACCAGAGCCAGCAGGAATGGAATGAGAAAATAGTGGTGACCCGGAATTGGTCGGCGATGATGTTGGTACAAAAGAAAGAGCAGTCGGGTCGGGCCGACTTTGTCAGTTGTCACAATCCACCGTTAAACATCCAAGTTTGAAGAAAATGCATGAGATTACCTTCCAGCACTGAGCAGAGTACAAGGTGTATATACAAGCGACATCTACTAGAATCAACTACATACCTATCTGGTCTTTGCGGGGCAATCGCAGCAAACAGCTGGCAAAAGCCAAAATACCCAACGTGAGCAGAAACCTCTCTCGTCCATTCTTAATCTCGTCCTTCACAGGTGCGTCTCCCCAGCGACCAACGAACCAATCAAATCTTTGCCCCAGTAGGTGGAACTCTTTTCTTCCAAGTATACCTCGGAGTCTCCCTATTTCACTCAACATCCGAACAATTGAGCTATCAATGACCGCCGCGACCCAACGAACCCCTCTGACATTTGTATCCATTCTCTCCCATCGATCCGCGTCTCGATAAAGGTGACGGTAACAGTCGTGGAGAGTGTTCGCCAAGATCGTGCTGAGTAAGCCGTATACCAAGATCCACTCGCCTAAATCCAGGTTAAAAACAGCCAGGAGAGGACCCAAGAGGATCCATCCTAAAATCATCTCTGCACTGTTCGGAACCCAAACGCGATAACAATGCTCTGGGTACATTCCGACCAGCGCGCCATCGCCTACGGACCACATATAAAATCTCCAATAAGAACGTGCACCATTTTTCCACCAAGGGTGCGTCACTTGAACGTTGGGAGCGCCGATGAACCCTGCTGTGTCTTTACCTTCGGTTGCTGTGTACTCTCGCTTTTTCCTGATACAGAAATCAATGTCCTCTCCTCCGCCTGTCTTCGGGAATCTCAAATCAAATTTCACTCCGTCCCGATTTCGTCTAGCAATGATGTTTGCTGTGACACCCCAAGGGACGTCTGTAGGAATTTTGGTAGCAATATCCCAGAAGTACGTCACACCAGAGAGATGAAGAGCGGCGGTGAAAATGTTGTTGGCTGGAGGAAATTTCGCGTTGCCGACGAACCCCACCGCTGATGGGTTGGCGCGGATAACGTGTTCGGCTTGGATGAGAAGGTCTGGTGAAGGAACGATATCGTCGTCGAGGAAATGAACCCACTCTGCAGCGGACTCTTCGAGGAAGCCACGGTTCCGGGAGTAGGATGCACCAGAATTAATGGGATTGACCCGTATGCGCACATCAGGACGATGTGCGTGTCGTTGGTTGAGGGCAGCGATATGGGGTGACGAAGGGTCATCTACAATAACGATGAACATCGTACTGCATGTCTCTGAGCCTTGCAGCGCGAGGATCCGGTCAAGGATATTGAGATCGACTCGATAACAGGGGATGACGATGTCCAAAGTGAGGATGCTCGTTGGAATTGAGACATCAATTTTCCCAGCTCGCTTTTTCAGCCAGTCCCCTACTGTATCCACAGCCGAGTCTAAAGTGCTGTATGTCCACCCTGGAGTGTGCTTTTTCTCGTAACGAGCATCAGACTCTCCTCCGACTGCATTCGAGATCCTACTTTCGATCATAGTCGAACATCCCCACCTTCGATAAAGCTGGAACAAAAAGGGATCGCCATCTTGATTGACGAAAACAGAAGGTATGACTTCACCGTTGAAGATATCCATATGAGTGCGGTGTACGACAGGAAACGTCGGCATCCCAGAGAAAGTAACATCTGTGAATGCCACGCAGCCAAGACCTGTAGGAATCCCAATTCGAGCGCCTGCCAATCGAATAAACTCGGCATGAATATCTCTCATCCAACCCTCATCCTTCAGCGTGACATCGTCACCTAAGAGCACAAAATAATCACATCCATCCCCCCAAGCTTTTCTGGCGCAGTCTCGCCACAATTCACAAATATGCCCTCGGGGATGGTTGCATACCAACGTTTGGGTATGAAAAAGGCCAGCGTTATGTAGAATCACCTCCGCTTTGTTTGGTTTGGAGCAGGACTGTGTTCTTTCATCTAGACTGGAGACTTGTCCCTCGAGCAGGAAATCGTCATCCTGGTCAATAGCAAGGTAGATTCTAACCCTGTATTGTGGGCTCACTGCACCTGCGTACGCGTGTGTATCTCGCCATGTAGTTCGATGAAGAGATTCAGCGAAGCTTTTAAGATTGACAAGACATTGGTCAGGAGTATCGTGGCCTCGAGAGGTGATAGGTAGAAGGACTGCAAAATCAATAGGCTTGGATTCGGAAAGGCTTATGAGCCGACTTTGTCGCATGTTCTCAAGCAATGAATACTGTTCTCCCGATGAAGACTTCTGTAGAAGATGTTCGATCTCCTTTCCAATCCACTTTCCGGTACGCTCCATCCCTTCTATCAGACGTGTGGTTGGAGCCCATCCCAGGACTTTGTTCACCTGTTCATTGTTCGAATTGCGAGCGGCAACACCTACAGGTTTGTCGCTTTTGAATATGAATGATACTTTCGGGGGAACACCGGCATAAGCAACATTCAGGGCTAACTGAGCCAATTCCTTAATTGTGATGGACTCATCGGAACCTATGTTCACTGGCTCGGAATGGCTCGAATGTAGGAGTTTTATGATGCCTTCCACGGCATCATCGATATAGAGGAAGGAGCGCCTCTGCGAACCGTCGCCCCATATTTCGAAGGGTGCTACATCCTGAGATGGATTACGGTCATGTATGAATCGATGAGCAAAGGCCTTACGCAGAAGCGCAGCCGGTGCTTTCTCTCGACCTGTGTTCCATGCACCACCAGGTCCGAAAATGTTATGGAACCTGGTGATACGAACCTCTAGCCGAGCGGTGGGTGTTTGCTGCAGCAGAAATTCCGAGCACAACTTCTCGAGGCCGTATAGGCCTTGGGGCTTAGGCGGCCCGCCTCCAGGGAGGAGGATGTCTCTCTCGCGAAGAGAGACGTCCTCGGTAACTCCCTGGAGGGAGTCGTGGTATACGCAGGCTGAAGAGGCATAGAACAATTTCTTTACCCCTGCAGCGGTACAAGCTTTGAGGATATTGAAAGTCATGATAGAGTTCTCGCTATAGATAGCGAAATCGTTGTCCTCGTGGATTACACCCATTCCACCCATATTGGC